GCTCCTCAAAAACCCTGGGAAATAAGATTTTCCACCTCCCTTCTCTGCAAAGGGAAGGGACCTCGGGGGAGGGGAGAATCTCTTACTGCAGGTTAAAAGGAAAAAAAATAAAAATAAATTAACGCTTGTCTAAAAGGAAAAGAGGAAAAGAAGGGAGGAAAATTAAAAGGTCGAGCTTTTGTTTGGTTTGGTTTGGTGTTTTGCGCGGGGTGGAAGTTATCGGGAGAGACAAAGCCGAGGTTTTCAGCAGAAAGCCCCCAAAATCTCGGGGGTGAAACGGGTAGGAGCCGGTCCCCGGAGCCGCGGGGAGGATGCGGGGCTGCCCGGTAGCGGGGGGGGATGGTGGTGGTGGAAAGGGGGGGGAGCAGCCGCCGGCGGCCCCCGCCGCCCTGTCTCCGGCACCCACGCACCCTTCCGCGGCGCGCAAGGGAGCAGCTTTACCCAACAAACTGGTCTATTATTGTAGTGCCAACCCCCAAACCTGTTACAAAACGGCCACCCGGGGCTGCTCGGCTTTGGGGAGAAAACACGCGCGCCCCGCACACGCGCTCACGCTCACGCACCCGCGGAAAACACGGCAGGCGGGAGCGGAGGGAGAAGGAAGGAAGGAAGGAGGCGGGGGGGGAATGGGGGGAAGGCTGGAGACAGGTAAGTGACCCCCAGGACAGGAGTGTGTCCCCCCCCTCCGCTCTGTCATCCCCCTCCCCGCCAGCCACGGGTGACAGGGGGGCGTCGGTAAAAAGATATTTTTTATCTGGGGAGGGGGGATCCTTCAGGCGACGCCTTTGTCACAATCACTGCTGACACCTTACCCCCCACGGCCCCGAATTCCCAACGCGGATCCCCCTTTTTCCCCCCCCTTTTCCCCCCCCCGTGACGACCGGGGAGAGGGGAAGAAGAAGCGGGGGGGGGAGCCCCGCGGGAACGTGTTCCGCCGTGGGGTTGCTGGCGGGGAAAACCCGGTGTTCCTGCTGGGAGAGGGGAGCGGGGGGGACAGGCTCGGTGCCTGTGCCTACGCGAGGGCTCCGCGCCCCTGCGCAGCGCTCCGCGGCCGCCCGGCGGATCAGAGAGAGAAAAACCCCCAAAAGCCGGTCCCTCCGCACGGTCCCTCCTGCACCCGGGGCCGCTTTTAGGAGAAACAAGGGGAGAGAGACCCTCGTTTTATCCTTTTTTTTCTCCCATTTAGCGGCTCCCTTTGACGGAAACGTCATTTGTGTAATTAGCGCAGCGCGATGGGCCGCGGAGCGCGCGGCTCTCCGCGCTAATTGCTCTCGGGAAAGGATTCGGGGCGGCTTAAAGGCGAGAGATTCGCTTTCTGGCCTTGGGATGGGCAGCTTTCGCTTCGGCTTAAATCACTCTGCCACAAGGTCTACGCCGTCTTGCAAAAGCCTCCCTTTTTTTTTTTCCTTTTTCCTTTTTCTTTTTCTTTTTTTTTTTTTTCCTTTTTCTTTTTTCTTTTTTTTTTTCCTTTTTTTTTCCAGCGGGGAGGGAGCATCATCCGCCGCCCCTCGGCTCGCCCGTGGCCACCTACAAAGGTCACATCCTCGCCAACACACCCGGGCTGCGGTGGCACGGCCCGGCCCGGCCCGGCCCGGCCACAGAATGGGAGCTCCCAGCATCGGGCCCCTCCAAAAAAATCCCTCTCTTCAAGCAAATTGGCATTGTTATACATATATATACGTTTGGGGTTTTTTTTTTTCCTCCTCTTATTAATAGAAGAAGGGGTAATTTGGAAACGTTTCTCGTGGTCGAAATAATTTTATTTTATTCAGAATATACAGTTTAATTCCTCTATCTACAATTATTTACAGGGTTAAAATAACATTGAAAAAAAGTCTCTGGAAAAGTTGAGGTCATAGATTTCAAGGCACCATTGATAGTGTCCACAGCTGAGCCAAAAAAATGTCCGTATTGTATAAAAAAAGGGGTATCCTTTGAAATGCAATAAGTTACATGCACAAGCTTTACACATTTTTAATCTTTTTTGTTTGTTTGTTTCTTTTTCCCTTTTTAAAAATCCCCCGTACGCATTCCTTTCGGTATTATTCCTTAACAGTAAAACACAGGAGTCCAAGGAGCAACGACAACAACGAAACAAAAAAAATTTTAAAAAAAATAAAATAAAATAATAATAATAATAATAATAAAGGGTCAGGCTCTTAATAAATCGTCCCAGAGGCCAGCGCTAACGGGTGCTGTAGGGAGCCGTGGGGCTGGAGGTGGGAGTTGATGGAGGAGGCAGCGGGGTACCAGGATGCCGAGCTCTCCAGGTAGCTGGATGCGGGGGCCGGGTTGGAGGTGGGCGGGTGCGGGTGTGCGTGGGCAGGGTGGCTGAGGGTGCGGGACGAGCCCTGGGGTTCCCAAACCGCCGGCGACTGCGGGGAATTGCAGGCCATGGGGTCGCTGGAGCTGGGGCTGTGCTCGGGGGGCATCTCCCCGTTCTTCATGATCTTCTTGATCTTGGACCTTTTATTCTGAAACCAAATTTTCACCTGGGAAAGGGGGGATATTGGGGGGAGGGGGGGGGAGGCAAACCGACACCATTAATGCCCGCCTGGCAAAGAGGGGGACCCCCTCCCCGCCGCCCTCCCTTCCGCGGGG